TAGATCACATGAGTGCTAAGACCCAGATGGCATGCCCCAGCCTCCCAGACACTCACATGACCCTATTTGCTGTGGTCCTGTGGCAGGTTTCAAGCCTGTGATGGAGTGTGGCAGAGGCAACCTCTGCAACAGGAAATAGCTTTTGCTGAAAGACAGTTCAGTTTGGAGATGGTTTATATATTAGGGAAGTGTACATGCTCCAGATAAATGGGACTCTGGACCTAATGACATTATTTAGAAACAGTTTAAATGAAAATGAGCAGTTGGTCCTACATGCGCCTCTCCCCGGGTCCTGGAATGCCTCTGTTTAGTGTAACAAGTGCTAATGTGGCCTCCTCGTGGCCTCTGAAAATGGGCAGTGCTCTTTCAGCAAACGCAAACTCCCGGCAAACAGCAGGAAGGCTGTAAACAGTTTCCAGCTTCAGATTTTAGGCTGTCAAGTGTGGATCCTATAAAAACAAACCGCTCCCCAGATTGGCCTCAGAGCCTGGGCTATGCCACATTCTTCACGAAGCACTTTCCCATGTCATGAAGGGCATGTAGGAGGGGGAAGAAGGGGGGAGACCAGGGTCCGAGTCAGCTATTATCTGAGTCTCCGCAGACTGACATGCTTTCTGGCTTTGAGACTTTTGAGACTTCTTTATAAAGATTTATTTTTAAGCTCTCTGATTCTCAGATAGGCAGGGGATACTTATTTGCTCTAAGACTTCTTTTTATAAAGATTTATTTGTGCGTGTTTGTGTGTGTGTGTGTGTGTGTGTATGTGTGTCCACAGACACTAAAGGACCTGGAGCATTGGATCCCCTGGAACTGGAGTTGTAGGTGGTTGTGAGCTGCCCAGTGTCGGTGCTAGCAACCAAACTCAGGTTCTCTGAAAAAGCAGTATTTGCTTTTAAACATTGAACCATTTCTTCAGCTCCTGAGGTTTCTGTTAGGAATTTTTCCTAATGTGAGCCCTCTGCTGACGCAAAAATCCCAATCACAAAAAACCAAATCACAACAAGCCAAATTAAAAATATCCAGGTTTAATGGGATTCCTGTGCTCTTTTGTGGCCCGAGGGGAACCGGGGAGGCCGCTAACGTGGTCCTGGCCCTCCCAGGGAGGGGGGACCTGGCATGCTGGGATTTGGAGTCCAGACCAATACAACTCTCAGGCCTTGGGGCTGGGGGCTACGCTCCCAACTTTCCAGTTTCTTGTTACTAGAGTCTCAGCAGGACTGTCACACACAGCCACATATTTTAGAGCCAACGAGGGAAATTCAGGTAGGATGGCCGTTTAAGACCTCGCTAGCACAGTTTCCACCCTGGGGATGGGTTTAGAACAAGGTGTGTTTTAGTTTCGCCAGGTGATTCTAATGGGTACCCAGGTTGTAAAGACAGTGGCGTATTTTCCCCTCCTTGTGTTTATGTAGATGTTACAAGTGTGCGTATTGTAGTGTTTTTGAGCTGCCATAAATCCTTGGCTGATAAACGAGAGGTTTCATTTCTTACAGTTCTAGGGGCCCAGAGGTCTAAGACCAAGCTGCTGGCAGTGCCTGTACAGGTTTAACTCCTGCCCGTGGATAGTTGTTCTTATGTGGTGGGAGAGGCCAAGCAGTAGCCAGGATCTCTTTGTTACGAAAACTAATCCCATTTGTGAAGGTGCCACTTTCCAGACTTAATCACTTCCTAAAGGCTCTACCTCCAATAGTCTCATGATGAGGATTAAGTGTCAACATCTGAACTTCGATAGGATATAGATATTCAGCTGATAGCAGTAAGGCACCGGATTTAGTACAGGGGAGACCTCAGCCCTGAGGTGAGGACAGATGTCTAGGACAGAAACTGAAATGGTCATTAGGCCATCTGCCATCCAATGGCTGAATTCCAATGGCTGAATGTTGCTTCTCTCTGCTTGCAGTAGTTGGTTCCATTTCTGTATTTTTTCAAGTTGTTATATGAACAGCAAGTTCCTTAAGATTAAAAAATATGAAATATCTCAAACATAAAAAGTACAGAGTGAATTTATGATTTGTACCTTTTCAAAAGACTCAAGCTGTGTAAATCTTCCTGGACTCCCATCTGAGAAAGGCAATTCATTTCAGATAGAGTACCAGTGACAGACCAAATTATTGATTTCAACATTTTGTGAACTAATGAGTTTATTTGTAATATGCTTGCAGGAGTATGGGTCTGGGGTTATGTTCTGGTTTGCTATTGCTGTTGAAGGAGACCCCATACACAGGAGGTCCCTCCTGGACCATGGATTAGGTACAAACCACACCCAAACACCTGTTTTCCCAGAGAGATCCCTTATTCAGCAAGAAAGAAAAGTTAAAGTGGCTGCTTTCTGCCTCAGGCAGGAAAACAGTAGCAAATGTGTAGTGATATTTTGTGATCTAACACAGAAAGCTTGCCTGAAGGTCAGAGAGCAGTGCTAGGTCACTAGGTAGCCACAGAGGTCAGGCAGTGGTGGCACACACCTTTAGTCCCAGCACTTAGGGGACAGAAGCAAACGGATCTCTGTGAGTTCAAGACCACACTGAGCTATAGGAGATTGAAAAAAGAGAAACAGAGCTCACACAAAAGTGATCCCAGCACTGGGGAGATGGAGACAGAAGTGATATGGCTGGGCAGAGAGAGGAATATAAGGCAGGAGGAGACAGGAGCTCAGTGCAGTCTCAGGATCTGCATGATGGTAGAGACAGGATCGCCTGCCCCTTCAGTATGAGCATTGGTAAAGGGAGAACTCTCTAGTGGTTGGATGCTCTGCTTCTCTGATCTCTCAGCTTTTACCCCCAATAAGACTCCAGATTTTTATTGTTAAGAACAATTAGAATTCATGCTACACAAATAAACTTGCAGGTGTAATTTTTATGAAAAGAAAAGAAAAGAAAGGAAAGGGGGAGAGGTCTGTGTTATATGGGCCAGGATGTGGTGGTATATTCCCCCCACCTCGGTGGTATATTTTGATTGGACATGTTAATTAAATCAATCAAAGAGAGCTTTGGATTGCTGGACTTGAATACTTTCATAACTGGATCTTGGTAGCCAACCTCAGGAGGTCTCTTTTGCTTAAGCTTCCCTCAGTGTGACTGTCAGTTGACTTCCTGTTGCCTGCAGTCTCAACTCCAGCACCATGTCTGCCTGAATGCTGTTTTGCTCCCTGTCATAATGATAATGAACTGAACTTCTGAAACCGCAAGTGAGCCACCCCAATTAAATGTTTTCTTTATAAGAGTTGCTGTGGTCATGGTGTCTCTTCACAGCAATAAAAACCTTAATTAAGACAGAAGTTGGTACCAGGTACTGGGGTATTGTTGTGACAGTCCTGACCATGATATTGTTTGGAGCAGTATGGATTTGGTACCTTGGGTTAGGGAATCAGTGGAATGCTTTAAGCTTAATGGGTCATACTTGTGGAAGCATGGAAGACGGTGGTGCTGAGAGTGATTTGATGTACTGTCCAGGGCTGGATCAAAATGTTTCAGAGGAGAAGAATTTTAGTATGTTGCCTAGAAATTGTTCTTGTGATATTTTGGTGAAGGAAGTAACTGCCTTTTGCCCTTGTCTGGAGTCTGCCTGAGGCGAAAGTGAAGCATTTTAGATTAATTCCATTGGCAGAAGGAATCTCAAAATGCCATAGTATATGTTGTAATTTAAAAAAAAAAGTGGCCCCTGAGAGAAAGATACCATGTAACAGAACTCAGGTGGGAGAGAATGAATGGAAAAAGGGAGAAGGGGAGACTGGCCTCTGGGACAGGAGCAGCAGAAGAGAAGAGAGAGGTGAGACACACACACACACACACACACACACACACACACACACAGAGAGAGAGAAAGAAATAGGAGGTGGGCAAGACCCACCTTATAAAAGGGAACATGAACAGAAAGAAGGTGCTCTTAATGGATACAGTTGAGTAGGTACCCTGTCAGGACCTCAAGGGCAGGCCAGTACAGATGCCTGGATACTAATATCCACAGAGTATAGACTCTGTGGTGTGGATATTAGTAGTAACTCTAATGAAGATCTGTAATTAAAAGGAGCAAACAAACTGAGCAATGAAAAACATTTGAGGAGAAAAAGGGCAACAGGAAGTAGAATGGAGCTAAATCCTCTGTTCAAGGAGATAAGTGAATTAAGAAACAGAATAAAGGGAGTGGTGACCTCAGGACAAGATCCCACCCAGCTACGCTTCCAACTTGTGAAAAGGAACTGAACAAGAAAGTTTAGAGCTGGGTGTGGTGGTGTCTTTAGACCTTTAATCCCAGCACTGGGAAGGCTGAGGCTGAGATCTCTGAGTTTGAGGCCAGCCTGGTCTACAGAGCAAGTCTCAGGACAGGCAAGCTTAGGAAGCAGAAGACAGAAAGCTGATGAAGATGTAATTGAATGAAGGCGCCATGTCGAGCCCCAGCAAGCAGCAGAACTTGACAGCTTTGACCACGTGGTTCTGGCTTTAGAGTTAAGGATAGAAGAAAGGAGTTATGGAATAAAGCTGCTGAGGCCAGTCATATGTTAGAAATGTCCCTGAATGGAGGCCTAGCAGAGATGCCATTGTGCGACGCTGTGAACTTAAAGTCTGGATTGCCTTGGAGAACCCAAGATGTTAGAGACACCAGAGTCATGGGGAGCTTCTAATAGGGAGTGAATCCATCCCAGAAAAACTAGAGGCAGAATGTTGCCACAGCCTCCACCAGCAAGGAAGAGGCAACACCGGAGCTCTTCTTGCAAGCAGTTTACTCAGGACCTTGTTACAATAGTTTCTCTCTCTGGGCAAGCTCCTCCCAGCCCTTAAGTAGCCCTGGGCAGCCAATCCTGGATCGCCACGTGGGCACTGTCCATAGGTCCACTTATACGCAAGCAGCTTACGATCATCACGTGATCCTGACCTTAGCCAAATAAGGTGTTGTTTGCCACTGAGAGCACTCGCTTTCAGGATCGTGGAAGGCGGAAGCCAGCGCCATATTTTAGGTGCGGCTCCATGCAGCTCCCTACAGTTCCCCCTTTTTTGTTTTAAAAGCAACAGGCAAGAGTAGAGGTCTGATCTCTGTTAAAAATGAAGCATGTTCTATTGTTTATCCAGGTGTCCTCCACCCAGAACACGCTAGACCCGCTTGGTGCCCTTTTTACAGAGGTGGGAGTTAGGCACCAACCCACATGCAATCAGACTTGCTCTTTTTGAGGTAGATGTAATTACCCTCAAGTGCAGTGCACAAGCCTCGGATCCTGTGCTTATATATCTTTTAAAGTAGTTAACCAAACTTGGGGGGACTGTCCTGCTTCAATAGCCGTGAAGGCTTGAATGATCATTGCTGCATTGCGACGTTGTGAGGCCCTCATGCGACAAATGCACCACAGACATACCAGGGAGGCAAGCACCATTAGGCCTGTCAGGGCTCCTATTTCCTCCCACTCCTTAAGATAACTAAAAGTCCGTTTCAGCATATTAAGAAAAGCATTAGCAGTAGGTAATTCCAGCCGTGTGGCATTCAGGGAAATAATCTGGTTGATCAAGGTGTCCGTCAGGTTCTTGAACTCCTTGCTCCAGTTTCCCTGGAGGTATGCGCTTAGCTGCTGGCTCAGGTTACCGTTCTTGTAAAATTCTCAGCCAATCTGGAAGTGATGCATAAAGAGGAGAGGGAATGAATACATCCTACACTGGTTAAGGTTACTAAATCATCCACTTGCTCTTGTAAGAGATCTACTCTTTGGTTTACTGTCAAAATGCCAGCTTTTAAATGACCATCGATGGGTTTCAAAGTGGTCATTGTGGAGGCTGTCCTCTCCACGATTTCATTAACTGTCTCTGCAATCTGAGTTGTTGCAGCCATGGCAACAGCAGCTGTCATGGCAGCTGCAGCAGATAAAGCAATTGCGAAGACTAGGGCTGCTGTTATCCCAAAGTCTCATTTTGTTCTGAGCAAATGAGCGATTGGGAAGGCACCAGTATCAACTCTGACTGGGATGGGAACATATGTGGGAATTCTCATCACCACAGCTGTGTTATAAGTACCATTCCAGCACTGACTTGCGAGGCAAGTTGCCTTAGAGGAATTACAATAGATCACATCCTCTGTGGCATTGGTGATATTAGTCAGCAAAAAGAAGAAGGGTGCCTTTAAGTACACTGGACTGGCAGAAACGGTAAGGTTGTTCATCATTTTATTTATAGTAACATTTGAAAAAACTCCCTTCATATCTCTGCTGGCAGAGATGTTAAGTAGCCGGACAGTCAAATTACGAAGGGCAGCAAAAGGCTCTAGGGATGAAAAGGTCCCTCTTTCATTAGAAAGAATCCATTGAAACCAGGGCCAAGTATTTTTCTTATTAGTTTTCTGATTAGTCCGATTAGTAAGATTAAAGGAATATCTTCTTAAAGGAGGGGTAAATCCAAAACCTGGTGCAATCTGCTTTGACTTATGATCTGGGCTTTGACATGGTGTCCAATGAGGGGGGTACCCTAAATTAGGGGCACAATAAGGTAATACTTGTCGAGTGGTGGAATTCCCTAAGCCAAAGCGTGAACTTGAAAGCCGAAGTCCTTCCATCAACATCAATAAGGTAGTAATACTTGTGGCATTACACCGTTTTTACCACTGTCCATGCCTGAGGAAGCACCTGTATTTATTGTTTTCAGTGCTTCCACGAGCATGGTGAAAGGCACATGACTATCGGTCAACGGGTCAAGCCAATAACCCACCGAGCTATTTTTCAACCATATACATGGGTTAGAATTATTTTCAAGAGAAAAACATAAGACTCCTTGAAGAGGAACATCAGTTGCATTATACATAGTCATGCTAGGGTCTAAATTTACGCAGGGTAAGCCTAATTCACAACTAGTGGAAAAAAAGACAGGTAAAACTTTTGACGTAGAATGAACAGGTATAGGAATTGGCCATGCTTTTGCTATGGCCCACAAGATTTGTTCATTGGCCTGGATCAACAATGGAGGCATCAGGACCATCACCATCAGTAGGATCACAGTCTGAGGCTTCATCTTGCTTGTCGTTCTTCTGCACTTGTACTTTTCTCACCAAGTGCTCCAGTACCCAAATAGGGTCCAAATGATCCTGTGGAAAAACGCAAACAGAGCCTCGTGCCCAAGCCAGCACAGGATCAGTACCATGCCAGACCCCTGTCAGAGCGTCCTTCCATTTTATCAGTCCTTTTAAAGGACTGGATGGGCAAGAATGCCTGTCCGCGCAGACTAATTGGTATTATCCAAATTTTAAAAATTAAGTGTAAACAAGGCTAAGGAAAGTCTATTCTTGGGTGTCTGTTGATGACCTACTCCCCCTTTTTGTTTTTGAAGTAATTCCTTTAAGGAGCGATGAGCACGCTCTACAATGCCTTGGCCTTGTGGGTTATAAGGCAGTCCATGTATGAGTTGAACACCCATGCGTTGGCAGAAGGAGGTGAACTTTTGTCCCATATAAGCAGGACCATTGTCTATTTTCAGTTGCTGGGGTTTTCCCCAGGCGGCCCACGCTTCTAGACAATGAGCAATCACTTGGGTTGCCTTTTCACCTGTCATGGGTGTGGCATGGATAATGCCGGAGCATGTATCTACGGAGACATGTACGTGTTTTACCTTGCCAAACTCAGAGAGATGGGTAACATCCATAGGATAATATTCTATGGATTTCGCGGGGGAAATCCTGGGATGAATCCAAAGTAATGGTCCTTTCTGCCACAGAATACCCGTGGGTTGTAGATTAGTGGGTAAAATGCATAAAGCAATATCCTTTTCAGCCTGCACCCGTTTTAAAAAGGCTTTGATAATTTTTCCTCTGCAAGAGAAAGTGCTTGTTGAGCTTCACTGGTTAATTGTCTGGGAGAATCTAGAGCTACATCACCAACTAAAATATTATACAACGGTTTTAACTCATAATTTGCCATGCCCAAACTGCCCCTGATCCAATTTATATCTCCAAATAATTTTTGAAAATCATTTAATGTATGCAAATGATCTTTTCTTAATTCTACCTTTTGTGGTATAATTTGATTATATGTTATTTTAGACCCTAAATAATTTACTACCTCGTCTTGTTGAACCTTTACTGGAGCTATACATAGACCCTTCCTTTGTAATACCCCCACCAAAACACTGTATGCCTCTTGCAAAGTTTGCTCTTTCTTCGCCGCCAGGAGAATATCATCCATATAGTGGAGACATTTCACAGTTGGAAAACGAGCCCATCAAGGTTCCAAAGCAGCAGCTACAAATAATTGACACATACTAGGACTATTGGCCATACCCTGAGGTAGGACAATCCATTGCTATCTTTTATCAGGTTCCTCATGGTTGACTGATGGTAAGGTAAAGGCAAATCTTTCACTGTCCTTGCTATTTAAAGGGATGGAAAAGAAACAATCTTTTATGTCTACTACTATAATGGGCCAACTCTCTGGTAATGCAGATAGCAAGGGGAGGCCACGTTGAATAGGCCCCATAATTTTCATCTGTGCATTTATAGCACGAATTCATTAATAATCTCCATTTTCCAGACTTCTGTTTTTAATAACAAAAATAGGAGTATTCCAAGGGGAGAGGGAGGGTTCTATATGCCTTTCCTCTAGCTGTTCTTGCACTAACTGATGGGCTGCTTGTAGCTTTTCGGAAGATAGTGGCCACTGAGGAACCCACACTGGCTCTTCCGTTTTCCAGGAAATGAGAATTCCTTCCTCAGTGGTCCCTAAGAAAAACCCAACCCTTGTCTGGGTTTTCTTGGTTTTGCCTCTATAGGATCCTTCTGTCCCTGCAAGAATTTTCCCAGGCCAAACTCAGGATGGCAGTCCATGCTTTTTATAATAGCTTGAGCCTTATCAGAATATTCATTACTTAACTTAAACCCCATAGATTTCATAATATCTCTTCCCCATTATGATACTGGGAGCTCTAGGACATATGGCTGTATTTGTCCGGAGTGTCCTTCTTCATCTTGCCAAGTTAACAAGCTTGCACTAACATCAGGGGCTTTTGCATACCCCAGTCCTTGTAAAGTATGCGTAGAGGCCTGGACGGGCCACCCGCATGGCCAATCCGTGCTAGCTATAATACTTTTGTCTGTTCCAGTGTCCAGGAGCCCTGTAATCTTGATGCCATTAATAGTCAATTGTAAGATAGGCCTCTGATCTAAACTCAAAGACAGGAAGGTAAGATCCGTTCCTGAGGAGCCAAATCCTTGACTGCCTCTCTCTCTGTTCCATGCTGGAAATCTATCATGCAAGCTGGGCAGGCTAACAAGCTGTGCAATTCGATCACCTGGAGATATGGCACTAACACCCTTGGGTGACTCCACCATAATTTTAATAATGCCTGTATAGTCTAGATCAATTATTCCAGGATAAACCTGTAGGCCTCTCAAAGTAGTAGATGACCTGCCTATCAATAACCCTACTGTGCCTGGTTGGAGAGGGCCTTGAAAGTCAGAGTCTATCGTTTGAATTTCCATTTGAGAGGTTAATATGAGCCTGGTGGTGGCACGGAGGTCCAATCCTGCTGAACCCGCAGTGGCTCTCCGTGGTTCTGTGGGTGTCTGAATGTCGGCCATTGCTCCAGTTTTCCTTCCTGTACCTGCTCCTCCATTGCCCCATATATTTGAGGGCCCTGAGGCCAAGGGCCCCGCTGTCCGTTTTTTGACCTAGCATTAGGTCCGAGGGGTTGTCCGTTGATATCCTTGACGGATCTCCATTCATTGGCCTAATGCTTTCCTTTCTTGCATTTGGGGCATATCCCTGGATTTGGATTCTGGCTAATTCCTGGTCCCTGGGTATTCCCCTGCCGAGCATTTCTTCCTTGAAGGCAGTTGTGCTTAATGTGGCCTGGCTTACCACATCGAAAGCAAGTTCCTGCATTGCCCCCATTTTTGCTCAATCTAAGTACTGCAGCTGCCAGTCCGGCATTGGTTAATGGACCTCCTAATTCTCTACATGCTCTCATCCAGACTTCTAATCCTCTATTTTTATATGGGGTGATAGCCGCTCTGCACTCCTGGGTACATTGTTCATACACTAGCTGCTTGACAAACGGCATAGCAGTGTCCGGGTCACCAAAGATCTTTCCTGTCGCTTCTACCATCCTAGCCACAGAATCAGAAAAAGGCTCCATAGGCCCCTGAAGGATCTTAGTCAAATTACCAATTACCTCCCCTTTATTAGGTAAGGTCTTCCATGCTCTTGTGGCAATGTTATTAATCTGATCATACACTTGAGGAGGATATCCAGTTTGCTGGTTGACAAACCTGCCTTGTCCAAGTAACATGTCTGTGCCCCAGACAGCTTGTGCCCCTCCAGCTGCTAGGTTTATTGCAGCCTGAGCATTGGCCAATTCAATTAAAAGAGCTTTCCAATCTAGATACTGGCCAGGGGACAAGCATGCTCGTGCTAGGTTCATCCAATCAGCTGGAGTCATGGCGTATCTATGTAGAGCTTCCACTTGGGCCACCGTAAAGGGGGCTGTAGTGCCATAAGTCCGGACAGATTCTGCCAATGTCTTGATGACCTTAAAATCCAAAGGCTCATGGAATCGATTGCCTTGCGGATCCTGAAATACAGGAAATGCTGAGGCCGTCATCATTTCTGCCCTGACTTCTCTCCATACCTTAGGAGTGAAAGAAATCCCTCCCTCTGCTCCTATAACCTCCGGATACGGGGGTGGAGCTGAAGGGGTTACAGTCCTGCACATGCCTTTAGATGTCTTATTTTTCTCTCTGTTTCCCTTTTTCTTGGAGATTTTCATTCTTTTTAGTGTTTTCCTAAGGGTTTCTCTATCTTCTTCATCCGTTTCTGTCTCTGTGTCTGGTGTCTCTGGGTCTGGCCCTGTCTCTGAGCTCGAGGAGACAGAAGAGTCTGATTCCTCCAATTCTGACAGACTAGGATATAATCGACCCTTTTGCTTTTCCTGGGCCCTTTTCTTCTTCCCTCTTCCTGAATCTGTATCAGATGCCACATCAGACTTTGCCTTTTTAGAGGCTGCTGTTTTTGAAGCTGCCCTCTGTGAATGTTCCTCCTGTAATATCTCTAAGGTCGCTTGGCCATTTTCTACTGCTTCACTGCACTTTCGATTCTCGAGGCAGCTTTTCACTAATTTCCAGATAGGTCTTACTCCAGCCTTAAGCGTTCCCTGTTGTGCAGCAAACTCAAGGTCTCTACCTAGCTTTTCCCATGATGGAGTCGTAAGCTTCCTGGAGACTGCAAACCAAGGTGCAGTGGTATCACATTCCTCCAGGAACCTCCCTAAGGTATTTTTCTTAAGTTTTAGATTTTTTGAACGAAGCAGCTCGTTCAAAGCCAGAAAAATTGGGTGAGAAGGAGAATTCCCCATGTCTATTCACTGAGGATTCTCAATACACTCCCTACAGCAATAAGTAAAAATGATAAACCAGAACACAGTATTAAAGAGGACCCAAGCTGCTAAGAGCAAGCAGTAATCCATCAACAGTATCCAGCAATTTTACTTTCAGTTTGTCGGGCTAGCGAACCGAATGTGCTCTAAAGACTTGTAGCCAGTCCACTGTAGTAGGCTTTACTTTCACTTTCGATTTGTCCGCTCTAGTCGGGGCTCTACTTCCCCCCCTCCCTTTGTTTACAGGCAAGAGCAAATAACCCGCTTTGGCCATATGGGCCACCACTTGTCGCGACCGCCTTGACCAGCAAGGAAGACGCAACATCGGAGCTCTTCTTGCAAGCAGTTTACTCAGGACCTTGTTAAGATAGTTTCTCTCTCTGGGCAAGCTCCTCCCAGCCCTTAAGTAGCCCTGGGTAGCCAATCCTGGATCGCCACATGGGCACTGTCCATAGGTCCACTTATAGGCAAGCAGCTTATGATCATCGCGTGATCCTGGCCTTAGCCAAATAAGATGTTGTTTACCACTGAGAGCACTCGCTTTTGGGGTCACGGAAGGCAGAAGCCGGCACCATCTTTTAGGTGCAGCTCCACGCAGCTCTCTACAGCAAAAGGTAGTCAGGATAATTTAAGAAAAGCTGGCAAGAAGCAAGCCAAGCTAAGGTCAGGCATTCAATTAAGAATAAACCTTCGAGTGTGATTTATTTGGGAACTGGGTGGCAGGCCCCTCAAAAAACCAAGAGAATAAAATATCACTCAACAGGTAAGATGAACAATTCAGAATCTAAAGGTTCAGGATCCTCAGCTTCCTTAGGGTTCTCCCAATGTCTCCAGCCTGTTAGAGAATCCCATGCGCTACCTATTAGTGCGCTTGCTGTAATGCTCTCCAAGGCTGGAACTTGAATTTTCTTCATAGCTCAGTCATCCTCATAACGAGGGCTTTGCTTTGCTTTTCTACAACCTGAACTGTTTAACTGTTGGAGAGAAGCATCTATTTCAGGACACACATAGAAAACATACTCTTTATGTGAATCTAAAACTGGTTAATTTTTCATTTAATTCATACTTTCCTTTGCTGGTTTGTCCAGAGTTTCTAGAAGCGACGAGCCAGCATCTCCACTTTCCTTCTTTATCCACAAATTGTCAGAAGGTTCATATCCAGAGTCTCTGAATCCCTTGTTCTCCACAGCAAGTCCTTCAAATGTTTCTAACGATGAGCTTGCAGTGTTCTCCCCACACTGGAGGAGTCAACCGGTGCTGGCGGTTTGCAAAGCCCGCTCCAGATACGTAAAACACCCACCCCCACAGTTCTGTTTCTCTAGAAACACTCTTGTTGCCCCAACCTGTGTTAGTCAGGGTTCTCTGAAGGAACAGAACTGATGTACATGTGTGTATGTGTATGTAGATGTTTGCACACACATATGATTTCTTAGAGAGGCTTGCCGGCTGTGGAGTGTGTAATCAAACAATGACTGTCTCTGGATGGAAAGCCCAAGAATCTGGTGGTTGTTCCATCCACAAAACTGGATGTCTCAGGAGCCCCAGCCTGGTGCTGAAGTCCCGAAGGACTCCTAGAGAGTTCAGCCAGTGTTGGAATCCTGAGAAAGGGGGTTCTCATACCCATGAAGGAATGCCTCAGTGGCAGGATAGATGAACTTGCCAGCGAGAATGAGGGCAACCAGCAGCAAACAGAAGCAGCCTTCTTCCGTGTCCTTTTATGTCTGCAGAAGGTGCGGCCCAGATTTAGGGTGGGGCTTCCCACCTCAAATGACCCAATC